TACATACATACATACATATATATATATATATATATATATACATACATACATACATATATATATATATATATATATATATATATATATATATATATATATATATATATATATATATATATATATATATAAAATACACACTAGTATATATGTATATATTAAAATAGCCATGAAATAGACTAAGGAAAATAAAATACTTTCAAAACAAATTTCTTGCTCAACAACTCAAAAAGAAAACAAAGACATAACTTAGTTTTGACATATGCTTGGTCAGCTAAACTTAAAAGTGCATACTACATGTAGTAATTAGGAAGCCTGAATAATCAGGCACATCAATGATAACACAATTGATCCACATCTTGAACTGTTCAGTCATTTGATTACATTTACCTGTTTATTTGTTAATGCATCATATAAATCATCTGCTGCACATTTGAATTCTTGCTTGTCTGCTAGTTTAGATGTTTGTATTTTCGATCCAATTTGTAAATTTGACATACCCTTTGGGACACCATTTTTGTTAGCAGCCTGGAGAAAGAAAAAAATGAACACATGGGTGAAACTAACCCTAGAATTTTGGTTCCATCTTCCTTACCTCACCCACATAAAATATACTTACCGTAAACAAAACAGACTGGTTGTTACATTCTTTCATTTGTCCCAGCCACTCCATCAAAAACATGTACATGTTTAAATATTGTTCCAATTACTACTACAAAATGCCCACAGTATAAATACAGTAAGTACAATGTAGCAACATTATGGGTATAAAATTGCCATGTATCCAGCTGTTTTATACATTGATACAGTGTAATATAGTTGATTTGAATAATTTGTACACCCAAAATGAGCTTACATTGTACTCGTCACATATGGGAATTTAAAACCGATGTAGATGTACTTGACAGTTTTACAGATGGATTAATTTGGCACTGTAGAGAAATGTTTTAATGCATACAGTATTCCATGTACGTGTACCAGATTCGGCTGATACACCGCCCATTCTAAACCCTCCCCATGGGCGATGTTTCAAATAGTGGACGATGTTTTCGTCCACACATTGCCTGACTGAACAACCAACAAACATTTTTACAGACCCCAATTTTCCCGTCCAACATCTTGCATCAAGCTCGCTATTTCAAATATGACACTAAAAATAATTCACTGTGAAGTCGAAAAGCATATAACGTTTATTACACTCGCTTGAAAAGACTGCTATTTACAGAGTTTAAAATAGCCAAGCCTTCCTGATTCGGTTGATTTAACAACGGTAGGAATCAGAAATGTTTAATCTTTGTCTGTATCGCATTCCAACAAAAAGTTCAAGATCGGTAAACAAGAAATGGGGGAACTAAAATGTCTCCTGCGTTTCACATGCGACATGATTATTAAAAAAACACAGAGTTAAGCGTCTATGTACGTTCTATAAATTTAACCTTGCACACATAATCTTGTACTGACATGTTTTTTGTCCGAAAAAAGATGTTCCCTTTCAGCTAATCCCCAGTTAACTCTTCGCGTTCAGATTTTTTGAATAAATGACAAGTAACTATATTGATTTGCATCAAGTTGGGTGGCCCAAATTTAAATATCAGTGCGTGAACTCTGGAGGTCATTGCCCAACAAGTAATTCAAACGTAATTCAAACACGTGGTTATTAGAGTTCAGTCGAAATGTACGTGAATAATGCGATCGAAGTGCGCTGCCCAGAGTTTATTATATTATAGTAAAATTTAACTTGACGCATGGTATGGTTTATATTACATGTTCACTTCATTTCGAATAATTCACCATTGGAACATGGATGAATCACAAGTATTTAAAATATTTTCTTGACTTTCCGTAGATACCTGACCACTATCCTTTTTAGTGATTTAAATGCGCCCCTGTTTATGTTTGCGTAATTATTACGAATGCAAAACATTATCAAGTCGGTAATATTGAAATATTCACAGACCCAATATCCCGGGTCAGTGCCCTAACAATAGTAAAAAATAACTTGAGTTTGCGTAATTATCATGAAAGCAATACATTTCAAAGTTGAAATATTCAGAGCCGGTACAATATTGTAAACAAATTTGCATTATTAGAAAAGCAGCACACTAAGTAAACGATGTTGAAATATTCAAAGCCATTGGAGAGTTGCATACAAGTTGCGTAATTACAGTACCGTCGGATATAATAACAATTTTACTAGATCGGCACGAGGAGCACGAAAGAAAAAGGTTGCTAAAGTAACGCACCAGTTCAGTGCATGACTTAGGGTCAAACCTTGGTCAACACACACTTGATGTCAGCATCGCCGCGCAGCAAGTTTTGCAAAGAAGTATTTGAAGTTCAATTGTGTCCCAAGATGATGTGGCTGATCACTCAGTTGTCGCAGCATGTGTTGTGTCATGTCCATGATGTACCCGTTTAGACTTTGTATTAAAACACTTTGTATTTATACTTTGCATGATTATATTTGGTCGACGCGAAACATTATTTTTTCTGAACATCCCCCCCCCCCCCCCGAGACCATTTTTATCAATGCAGGGTTATTTTTCCCAGACAAGATGGGCTTCGTAATATGTGCCATAACATCGCCGGGCGATCTTTTGGTCCACATTTTTCTTAAAAGAAATTGAAACTTCCATAAGATCGCCCAGGGTGGGGTACAAGTCAAATCCGGTAGTTCAAAAAAAAAATACATTTAAGCATGCTGAAATCTGGTTCTGGTAGAAATGATAATTTTAAACTCAATAATAAGATATTACTACAAGAGTATAATAGTCTGTTGATTAGTGAAAACTGTCACGAACACATCGGATCTCTGACCGTATACCTGATTAGTTGATTAATGTATAATTATAGCATAATGATTGGTAATCATAATACAAGAGACTGTTCTGTTTCTTGATTGTCAGCACTGGTAAGGGGATGAAAAGGTTATTTCTTGATATCGCTAGAGCTGGTGGAAACTCGTATGCAACAAAAACTATTGTCTTTGATTAATGACTATAATGTACATTTTATTGTTTTTTGCACCATTGTATCTTATGAAAAGTGATTAAACAATATAAATGATTTATGTCGCAATGAAGTATTTAGAATTTAATTTGTCAAGACTTAATCTGAACGTTCTGTGTAGGTGGTAACAGAATATGCATATAGTATGATGCTGCAGAACAGTACCTTATTGATTGGGGGGTTGTGTGGTTTGGTTGCAGTGCTAGATGTACTTGTGTTCTTCTGAGAAGGTAATATCATTCCTTGGCTGAATTCTGAAAATAATAATACAGTATAATAATCAGTATACAGGAATATAATAAATGATCCTAGTATATAGCATGTATTATATCTTTAAAATGTGATGCTGTAGCACTGTACAACTTAAATTTGTTGATAAAGCAGAGTGCAACTAATACATCTATAGTAGTGACTATGTATAGTAGTACATACCTTCTTTCAAGTCTTGAATGTATTTTGCTATAGCTAGTCTAATTCTGGGCATCCCTTTTTTTCGCATAATGTCTTTAAGTATGTTACTTTCTTCCGTACTATTTTTAACTGTCACAATAATCTGTGAAAATAAACCAATTTTTTAATGTATAAATTACTCCAATGTCGTGAATTTCAACATGTTAGGTAATCCAGCAGGGAGTAAAGGAGCAGGTACCGGTAATCAGCACTATTGAGTATAAACCAAGTTAAAGGGGAATTAAATAGAGCCTAATTTGGTGTTTGTATTTATCAAGTTATGTATATTGATTATAAATTTGAAAAAAAAAATGATTATAGAGTTATGATGATTTAAATATGAGAAACCATAAACCTGCAGTATAAACAGGAAAGGTAACAAAGCATGATGACAAAATAGTATCTGATTAAATATAAACAATTTAGGAAGCCATAGTTGGCTGGATGACTGAATTGACTTCTAGTCTAGGTTGTTTCGACTTTTAAGTTAATGTTATTTACAAGCATATCAACATACAAACATTATGGATGTGGGATTGATCGAGACAGGCATTTTGTTTTGTTTTTTGTCTAACTGTCTAATAAATGCTGTTTCCAGTACTGCACTGTGCGTGCAAATTATTTCAAAGTCTGGGTGCTGGAGTGTGCAATCTTGAGTTCGTAGGGTGGTGGTGGAAACATTTTCGTCCATGTATTCACGGGGCTGCACTGATAAATCATGGGACAATTGTCACAGGAACACCAAGCAGATTGTTCACAGACTTCAGTGTAATTTGAAATCAAAGAAAGCTTAGAAAGAACTCCCGTGTGCTGAGAGTATTGAAGACACATTAAAAATTAATTAAAAATTACTTGTACATGAGATATTGATGGAAAAGCTGAAAACTAATTATGTAAATCAGGTAACTAATATGAACAGAACAGAACAAAAAAATTATGAATTATTATGCTAATTAGAGAATTAATATTAATCAAAATTAATCAGGCCTGTCTATTGTCCTAGAGCATTTATGTACCAAATTTTATTCAAATGTGATGATCAGTAATTGAGATATCAGTGTTAATTAATTATGTTAATTAGGTGATTAATAAGCATAAATATTTACCAAAAACTAATTGGGTTTCTGCATAGTTCTCTTTAAAAGCTTCATTAAAATCCAATTT